ACCTTCATTTTAAGATATTTGTTTTAATAGATTTCTTGTGAATGAATGGACTTTTAATAGTTTTAAAACTCTTTTTTTTTTTTTTTTATTTAGTTATATAATAAAAAACTACCAACTCCATTGATATTGCCAAGACAAAATAACACAGTTCACTGGGCACATGCTAACCAAACAATCAATAGTGATCATGAAGGGTAAATTGTTTTAATGGTACCTGCCATAAAAGAGCTCATTAGAGATTTTTATAGAAAATCTGAACCAAAAAACAACCATAAAACACCATGACAACATATTTAACATATTCAGCACGGTGGCACAGTGGTTCGAGCCTCAGTTGGGTCAGTTGGCATTTCTGTGTGGAGTTTGCAAGTTCTCCACGTGTTTTTGTGGGTTTCCTCCGAGTGTTCTGTTTCCCCCACAGTCCAAAGATATTTACACAGTTGAAGTCAGAATTATTAGCCCCTTGAATTATTTGTCCTCCTATTTAGTTTTGTCCCCAATTTCTGATTAATGGAGTAAATATTTTTTTCAACAAATTTCTTAACATAATAGTTTTAATAACTTAGTTCTAACAACTGATTTATTTTATCTTTGCCATGATGACTGTACATAATATTTTACTAGATATTTTTCAAGGCACGTCTATACAGCTTAAAGTGACATTTAAAGGCTTAACTAGGTAATTAGGTTAACTAGGCAGGTTAGGGTAATTAGGCAAGTTATGGTATAACTATGTTTTGTTCTGTATAGACCATCGGAAAAAAAATTGCTTAAACGGGCTAATAATTTTGTCCCTGAAATGTTTTTTAAATTTTTTTATTTATTTAAAAACTGCTTTTATTGTAGCTGAAATAAAACAAATCAGACTTATTCCTTGCTCTGTTAAACATCATTTAGGAAATATTAAAAAAAGAAAAAATCAAAGGGGGACTAATAATTCTAATTTCAACTCTATCTATCTATCTATCTATCTATCTATCTATCTATCTATCTATCTATCTATCTATCTATCTATCTATCTATCTATCTATCTATCTATCTATCTATCTATATATATATAGATATATAGATATATATATATATATATATATATATATATATATAGTTCGTTGGGCAAATACTAACCAAACAATGAATATTGATCATAAGTGGTATGTTGTTGTTATGGCACCAGCCATAAAACAGCTTATTAGAGATATTACAGAAAATCCGAACAGTAAAATAACCATGAAACACATTTATTATATCATATTTAAATTTAAAAACAGTAGATATATATAGAGAGAGACAGCCACTAAATAATAATATACACTTATAGCATTTTGTCATGTTTTTAAAAGGGGTAGATCAAAACAGATTTTTAAGTCATTGTAAAATTATTCCACACAATGTGAGTGATTTAACCCTTACTTTTCTTCATGAAAGTAGTGATGGCATGCAAAAATGATTAGTCCTTGAGACTTTATTTTTGTTAATAGCACTAGCAGTGTGGTGAGTCTTAACTATGAGTATAACCTACTGGATACTAGCTATGTGCTAGAAAACCATATGTTAAAAATTAGTACAACTAAATTCATAGTATTAAAAAAAAACAGTATACAAAATGTACCTTGATAACTTTCTAGTTAATATATTTTAGAGTGCACCTTCAATGAACTCTCAGTTATACCATTAGGCCATTTTTGAATGGAAATTAAACAATCTGCACTGGCAGATCATGTAATAAGAATGACATGTCAGATCTAGTAAATCTGAATTACATTCAGACTAATTTTGTTCACAGAGAACATATGTTTTCAATGATTGGTCACATTCTTTAAATGCACTCAATGGATGTACTACAATTTTGAATGCACTGTTGGACCACGGCAGGCACTTTTTTCCAGGGGTTTCAGTACAGCGTAACCGCTACTATGTCATCGGGTGGGCGTGACCTATCTGTGAATTTGCATAGGTCACAGATCATGCACAGATTGTAAAAACAGCCGTTTAATTCAGATACCTGTATCTGTACCTGTAAGTAAACGCAGGGGTTTAGTGTCCAATGCCTTTTATAAGCAGTACTTTAAAATAGCTGTCCTGATCGCAGGTGTTTCATGTGAAGTCTCTGTATGTTATATTAAACAAATTAACTTAATATTCCTCTCAGATTACATTAATACTGTTATAACTTAAGATACCTATCCTGATCCCAGGGGTTTTGTGTCAAATGCTTTATATATCATATACAGTAGCATCAGATACCTGTCCTGATCTCAGGGGTTTCATGTATGATCACTTTTATATACAGTAACATCAGATAACTGTCCTGATCCCAGGTGTTTCATGTATGATCACTTTTATATTAGTTTACATCAGATACCTGTCCTGATCCCAGGGGTTTCATGTATGATCACTTTTATATACAGTAACATACCTGTCCTGATGCCAGGGGTTTTGTGTATGATGACTTTATATAAAAATAGAAAATAAATATGTGTTATGTTAATTAACTAAGATCGAGTAAGAAAAAATAACCACGGTTTATTACAGAAAAATGTGGTATTTATTTGTTTAAACATGACTGAATACCATATTTTAAACTACAAAAACACGGTTAATCTAATGTACCACAACTATTATAATTAGTATTTTTTGGTTTACCATGGAAGTACAAAATCCCAGAGACTTTATTGTTTACAGGAAAACGGAGTAAAACATGGTCGGCTGTTTTTGCTAATGAAGCCTTTCAAATATAACATTATAAAAACAAAAAATAATCTGTATGATTGTTTTTTTCCTTCGTTATCCATCGCGGTAGGTTCCTTATCCATAATGATCCTGTTTGAAATGACCCGAAAAGAAAAGAACCCGTACTGCGCATGATCGGTGACCTCTCAGTATTGTTGTTTTTGTAAGGGGGCGTTTCTCAAACACCGACTGAGCCACGCCCATTTTACGTCATCGTAATGAAACCCCTGGAATTTAGTGCATACAGTTGGACCACAGGACCAAATGTGCAAGTTTGCAGTAAAGATTATTTACAAAGTGATATTGCCCTCTACTGGCCTGGCATGCAGAATAAAGCATTTTTAATTTAATTAGTTAATTAATTTATTATTATTATTATTTTTTTTTTTTTGCAGATCTGTGCTGAAACAGATTACTAGAAAAAAATATAAATCTACTACAAACACAAACAGTAAATATAAATCATAGTAAAATGCAAAATTAAAAATATTTCTATGAGTTTTATTTACTTATATTTTTAAATCTCTTGTTGGTCATTTAACTATATATATATATATATATATATATATATATATATATATATATATATATATATATATATATATATATATATATATATATATATATATGCTGTCTTGCTAATTATAATTTATGTTTGTAACGTTCAAAAATCTCTTAGGCCTTCTTGCTGTGAGATGACAGCACTACCTACTGCACCACTGCGTCGCCTTCAATGTAATTTAATTCACAAAAAAATTATAAAAATAAACAAATAATAATAGTAATAATGATAATAACTTTTTTATTCATTAATTAATTTCAAAGTTCAACAAACTAGTTTAGTAAAAGTTCATACCAGAATTTCAGAAAAAAAAAAAACATTTTATTGTTCAGTGTTTTTCAGGCCTGATAACTGGTTGTTACATGTTTTTATAGTCTGCATTTATATGACCAATTTAACCCATTTACATTTAGTCTGTTTACCAATAAAATAAAAAAAATAAATAAATAAAAGTACAAATAAAATCCAACCTGATGTTTTAGATTTTATTTATTTTTTTTATTATTATTACATTTTAATGAATGTTGCAACTGTCCCTGTGGGTTGTTGTAACTGTTCCCCTTCTTGGGCTCAGTTGCAACGTTTGACTGTGTCTGTACAGTTGAAGTCTGAATTATTAGGCCCCTGAATAATTAGCCCCCCTGTTTATTATTTTCCCCAATTTTAGAATAACGGAGAGATTATTTTTTCAACACATTTCTAAACATAACAGTTAACTCATTTCTAATAACTGATATATTTTATCTTTGCCATGAGAACAGTAAATGGTATTTGACAAGATATTTTTTCAAGACACTTCTACACAGCTTAAAGTGACATTTAAAGACTTCAGTGGGTTAATTAGGTTAACTAGGCAGTTTAGGGTAATTAGGCAAGCTATTGTATAATGATGGTTTGTGCTGTAGACTATTGAAAAAAATATAGCTTAAAGGGGCTAATAATTTTGAACTTAAAATTGTTTTTAAAAAAAATAGAAACTGCTTTTATTCTAGCTGAAATAAAACATGCAAGACTTTCTCCAGAAGAAAAAATATTATCAGACATACTGTGAAAATTTCTTTGCTCTGTTAAACATCATTTAGAAAATATTTAAAAAAGAAAAACAATTCAAAGAGAGGCTAATAATTCTGACTTCAACTGTACACATATTATAGCAATGTGGGTCCAATAAATATGGGTTTATTAATTTTGGGTTTTCACCAAAAAAAAAAAAAAAGTCTGAGAAGCTGAAGGAACTGCAAAAAGGGATGCAACTGTCCCCACTCTTCCTAGAGATTTATTTACATAGAATTTTAATATTCCTCGTATTAATTACGTTTCTCGTGTGCAAATTGCATGTTTATCAGCACAAGGGCTCATTTTTTAAAATATAGCTTTCTTTTATTGAATTACCTATGAGTTCTATCTACATGATTTGTTCTATTTACAAATGTATTCTATTTACAAATCTAACCTATCTATTACCTTACTTATATTCTCATTTTTGTAATGTTTACATATTTTATTATATCATATTTATTATTTTTCACAGCACAAATAGCTATTAAAGGCAGTAGTAAACATGTTATAATGTATGGAAAAAGTAGCTTTTCATTTGATCATACGACTTTTCGCGTTTTATTTCCAGCGCAGCTACTACAACCAGCTTGCGTAAAAAAGGCTCACCCCCCTCCCATATGCTCACATGGTACGAGCCGCCCGTGGATGGTGGAAGCCGCTTGACATTCCTCGGCTTTCCCTCCAGCCTCTGCACTGCTCTCCACTGCGAGCTCACGGACTCAGCAGCTCCACGGCACACGGACGATATTCGCCCTCCAGCTCTGCGCAGTAAAAACACACGGCTCGTCTTATTCATGCGCACTGCTCTCTCTTTCTCTCTATGCGGAGCACTGGACATTTTACACCCTTTTCATTTTTCAAACGGGAGATCATGATGATGATGATGGTGATAAGACACCGATATTAACAGCATAACACCTTGCGGGGAGAGTGAAAAAAAAGAAACGCTGGATAGACGCCTTCTCCTGCTTCTTCAGCAATGGTAAGAGATGCATGTTCAAGAGAAAAGTGCGTTGTTGTTGCGCAAACAGCTGGAGCGCGTTTGGCGTGATAGTATTACGCGCAGCCTCTTCTGTTATTTATTATGGAGCAGCTTGTAAACTTGCAGCATGGAAGGACAGTGTAAAGTAAAAGAGGGCTTGGCTGCACTCTGTTTTCATGTAATACATGAATTATTGGTGCACGCTGAATGATTCATGTCTCAGCGCCCTTCGGAGATCATTCTAAATAGAAGTTATTGTGACATTTTGGGGCATTTTCCAGGGTTTTTTATTTGGTTCAACATCTATCCCTTGTTAACGGGCCGAGGGTGTACCTGCTTACTGCTGCATGTCTCAGTCCTGTGATCATTCACTTTAGGGTGGAATATGGATGGATGGCTGTGGTTTAAGGATGTGGAGAAGAGACTGTTTGGATTTTTTTAGGGGTTGGAGTGTTTTTCTGGCAGTGGCACACTGCATTTCCAGATTGATCCTGTGAAGCAAATGGGCTTTTACAGCTCTTATTTTACTCGTACTCTCTCTAAAACCCTCTTATTTGGGGCTCTGAGGGTTTGCTGTAAAGCTGGGATGGGAATTTATGGCTAATTCTGATGTATTTTAGAAGAAGAAAAAAAAAAGACAAATGCTGGTAGAATGTGTGTGAAGCAAGGGTGTGTTTTAAAAGTGGTAGATAATGTTTTCATTAGTTGTTATTTTTACACTAATACTGTTTCAGGATTGAGCAATCATGTAGATTGACATGATCAAAATGCTTTATTTTTTATTTTGTAGATCTTTGAATCTGGTTTTACACATGTGCATGCACACAGTCTACTATTTTCAACACAACAGCAGGGCTGTTGAAAAATTGATAGGAGATTGATAGATGTTTCATCTTCCACAGTGTACATAAAAGATTCACGGTAGCCTATCTTTTAAAAAAAGAACGGGATTGTAATGGAATGAAACGTCAGTGATATTTATTCTAAAGAAACACATTGTAAGACCACTTTTAACACAAATTAATAAATACAAACTGGTTTTGTTTGAATTGTAAAATGTAATAATATTTTGAAGCAATCAGATGTGTTGCGCATAAGAAATGTTAGTGGAACGTGTCCATAAACTGATAAACTAAATCTGTGGCTACTCTACTAGAACACCTGTGTGAACCTCACTTATACATCCACTAAAATGGTCGTTTGGTTAAACTGCAGAATTGCTATAAAAATTCAAGTTAATTAATTTTGTTTGTTGGATATTTTGCATGATTTTACAAGTTAGGTTAAGTGTACACTTACATGTTTTCAGAGGCAAAATGCCAAGACAATAAATGCATTATTCATGCTGTACAACGTCAAAGGAACATAAATACTAGGTTTAGATTTGTAATATTAGTTAACAGGAAATTATACTGTTATAGCATTTAATAATACTATGCTTAAGCTTTTACATTAACGAAGATTAATTATAGGCCGTTTAAAATTGGTCTTTGTTAGTTAAATTTCCCATTAAAAACAATTTGAGATAGCCCTATTATATAAGGTGGTAATTTTGTGTACAGAGTAAAGTTGTACAGTGTGGATCATATTATTATTAATATTATTAAAACATAAAGGCGTACTATGATAACCCAGCCTTAAATTCTGATTATTTTTTTCTCCCAAATTCCAAAATCCCATTTTTTAAATGTATGATTTCATATTTAATTACAAAAATAAATGGGAGTCATGATGCAAAACTTGTTTAACCCTTTGATGCACAATCTATTAAATAGATATAGAAAAAATAAGCTTAGACGGGTCACTTTAGATGTGTGTAGTTCATCAAAGGGTTAATAATAAAAATATATTGCAAGTTTAACAAACCTAATATTTTTGAAACACTATGAACTTTTTTTCTCCTCAGATTTGCAAGAACAAGTGTGTAATTATTCATACAAAAATATCACTATTATTTTTGACAAGTACATTATGTTAGTATGACGGACAATTTTAGCATATTTTGTTAAAGTCTGCGTGAACTAGAAGTTGCTGAGACTTTTATTTCAGCTTGCTGATGTTCTTCCAACTGAATATTGAATAGGAGGCGGGGCTTTCGTTTTGCAACTCATTCCCTTGTAGCAAATTAATAGTAAGATAGGTGCAGATATTATAAGATATTGTGGTTGAAGCCGCCAACAGAGAAGCCACTCCAAAGAAAGCAGCAAATGGTCAAACTTTAAATGAAGATCAAAACAAAAACTTTTGTTCAGTGGATTAACTTGCATGGATTAAATGTTTAGCTAAAGAATAGCAATGTTCACAAGCAAGATGAATATTGTACATTTTGATTTTTATATAGACTTTAAGTAGAATAAATCTACACCTTTTTGTAAATTAGCATCACATTTTACCAAGCTTCATGGGTTTAAATTGGAGAGACCCCGAGTTCTGCAGTGTGTTGGTGAAGTGTTGTGTAGCGGCACTAAATGAGTCTGAAGTTGGTGGGTCCCCATGGGTTTGACCTTTCAAGGATGGCCTTGTATTCTCCCGGTTGTCATGGTCCAAGCCGATGAGGACTTGAGATGGTCACCACACAGGCCATTTCCATGAAAATAAAGCTTTCCTTTGTCCGCCCTTACAAAGAGAACGAAGAAAAACATCAGGCTAATTTATTTTCCCTTTTATCCAGTTCTAATCATTTAGTTTTGAACATTGTACAGTTTCCTTTACTTCTCAAGAGTAATTTATATGGATTTTTGTTTTTGCAGCCATGAAAGATTGTTTGACATATTTTAAATGTAGCTATAATAAGCACTCCTATTATCCAATGATCTCATGTTCTTTTCTGTGGGTTTAGTATGGATTTAAGTGCATGTAAGGATGGTTCTCAGCATGTGTTAGTGTACTCTGTTGTGGCTGGAATGGACAATCTTCGCATGAAACATATGCCAGAGTAATTGGTGGATCATTCTGCTGTGGTGACCCCTAAATCAGGGACTAAGCTGAAGCAAGTAAGGTTGGTTTCATACTGACTTGCTTGAATCCAGTTGAGTAGCCGCAATGAGACGAAAAACAATGATGGAAGCAAGCCAATGAATTGCTTGATCTCCCCAGTGACTCTTCAGTAGTGATGCGGAGTCTCTCGTGTAATAAGAGTTCATAGCTGAGCTGTTGTGAAAGAGCGTAGACTTCATTGGAAGGTGGACACGCAGTGGGTGAAGTGTTGCTCATTGCACCTTCCTCTTATTAAGGAGCTCCAGAATTGCACCCCTGCCAGGTCTTTTTATCCCTGCAGTGCAACAAACATCTGATCACTGTCTTCACAAGACTCTTGTGCAGCGAGCCATTTTTCTCTGCTCAAAGAAACATGATCTGATACACCCATAGTGAGAAGGAAAGTCGCAATTGCTTTTTGGCCTTTTGCCTGTTTGGGGCTTGAGATGGTTCCTGCAAATCCATAATTCTGCTTCTTCAAAAGCACGGCTTTATGTGGGATTTAGTGCAGTAAATAATAAATCTTTTGTAGAAATAGGAGTCATGATGTTTGAGCAAACAGCCTAATAGGTCAACATGTAACAGTGGCAGTACAATTCAGTATAAGTAGTTGATTTGTTTAAACAACGAAGGAAAAAACAACAACAAATAAAAAATTAAATAAAAAATCTTTGCTGAAACGGGATCCGAACCTGGAGCTCTTGGGTCTGCGCTCTGTGACGTAACCACTCATCCATGTGACAGACTTATAAAAATACTTTTTTTCCTCACAGGAATGTTGATATATGGCAGCAGGGTGGTGCTGTGGGTAGCACAATCACCTCACAGCAAGAATGTCGGTGGTTTGAGCCTCAGCTGAAAAAGTTGGCATTTCTGTGTGGAGTTTGCATGTTCTGCCTGTGTTCACATGGGTTTCATTCGGTTGCTCCGGTTTCACCTACAAGTCCAAAAAACATGTGGTATAGGTGAATTGGGTAAGCTAAATTGTACGTAGTGTATGTGTGTGTGTGCATAAGTGTGTTTGGATGTTTCCCAGTGGTTGGTTGTAGCTGGAATGGCATCCGCTGCATAAAACATATGCTGGATAAGTTGGTGGTTCATTCTGTTGTGGCAACCCCAGATTAATAAAGGGACCAAGCCGAAAAAAAATGAATTGATGAATGAATATAAATATTTTTATATACATTTGTTTTTACGCAGCAAATGGCCATCCAGCTGCAACCCATCTCTGGGAAACATCCATACACACTCATACACTATAAACAATTTAGCTTACCCAATTCACCTGTACCAGGAAACCCACGCAGACGCATGGAGAACTTGCAAACTCCACATGCTGTTTGGACTCCAAAGAAGACGCTCAAAGGGTAATTTTAAAGAAGAACCTCTCCAAGAATCCAAGAAGTATAAACTTAGATTTGCTGTTGACATGATGGCATTAGTTTTCAGAAACAGAAAGCAGAAATCTCCCATCAGATTATGAAGAACATAATCAGAACTCTTCAATCTGTGCCAAATCCTTACCACAACACAGCCTAGCAGTGCTTCCATCATCTATGAGCCAAGTACATTGCAATGTTTTTCTTTTTGTTCAGTTATTATTATTTTTCTCTATGTGTGTTTGTGTGTGTATGTTGGGTATGGGGGTGGATAAGAACAAATATACACAAAATGGGATCAATGAACTGCATTATAGTTGTTGTGACCCACTGTGTGCTCAGTCCATTTGAGATCAATGTGAAATTTGTGTGACCCTCAGTGGCTGCTAATGCAATTAGGCTTTTATTGTGTGTCAGTTTATAGTGCTGTAAATACCACCACCCCCGTTATTCACCAAGATTAAAAGCAACAGCTATATCTAAACCATAAATGTCAATTTGTTCTAATGGACACTTGTCTGTTTGTTGAAAAAACAAAACAAAAACGCAAGTTTGATTTTTTTCTATTACAGGAGTAGTTGTTTGTTTGTTTGCTTTTGTCAGCAGTATAGCATTTGTATGTGTGTGTGGAATTGTTTATGCTAC